ACCGCACAAAAATGAATAAATATGGGGCCCTTAGTAAATAATTATCGAAATAATTAGAATTTGGGATGGCCATTTAGCGAACTTCATGGCTTTTCCCCAAAGTGACACTACGTTAGTATCTTGAGGCACGATTTAATTAAATAACTTTCTTAAAAATCGGGTGCGCATTGATGGGACTCAAATCCAAATCTCGACGAAGTCGAAACGTGTTGATAACTACGGGTGCATTGATCACGACGTAGCTCGAAACACGTTTTCACAACGTCGCAATTCTGCCTAAATAAATAACAATAAAAGCGGTTTACAAATAAAAAGCACATAAGTTAACATGTATTAAAATCAGATAAAATCAAATACAAGCGACCGTGCTAGAACCACGGAACCCGGGAATGCCTAACACCTTCTCCCGGGTTAACAGAATTTCTTACCCGGATTTTTGGTTCGCGGACTGTAACAGAGTCATGTTTTTCCTCGGTTTGGGATTCAATCGGTGACTTGGGACACCATTAATCTCTCAAGTGGCGACTCTGAACAATCAATAATTAAATCTCGTTCCGACTGTCCTTTAATTGGAAAAACTCCTTTACGCCCTTCCTTACGGGGTGTAGTGAAAAAGGAGGTGTGACATTTCGTATTTTGTATTTCATATCTCTTATTATGCTGTTATTTTATTATGCATTTTTATGGTACTAATATATCGACTCCTGTTGGTTTGTTGAGCCGAGGGTCTCCTAGAAATAGCCTCTCTACCCTTCGGGGTAGGGGTAAGGTCTGCGTACATATTACCCTCCCCAGACCCCACTTGTGGGATTATACTGGGTCGTTGTTGTTGTTGTAAACTTATATGATAAAATTAAACCAAAAATTAAATCCAAACACCTAACCTATAAGTACTAATTAAAATTTTACCATCAAAGAGTAGCTCAAAATATGGAGAATTAACGTGGGAATTATCCTTTTATTTTTTTGAAATTAAAGATATGATCTAATGGAGCTCTAAAGTTTATTGTTTTCTATATGAGGAAACGGAAGGGATTTAAAAGAAAGCGCACATGGAAAAATTCCTAATTCCTAATTCCAGCCTAGTTCTAACTCATCAATTATCATCACTATTCACTACTGTGCTCGTCTTAAGGAACAATATTAATCGGAGTATAAAATCTATGTACTAATAGGGCAAAAAACACATATCAAATAACCTAAAAAAATTAAAAGTAAATTTTATAATAAATATTAATTAGTGACATAATGAAAAGGATAGCAAACATGCATTATAGGTTCAATTACGCTAATAATGTAATATGTTTTAGATTATTAGTGTGCATAATTTGAACTCTCAATTAAAATATTAGTAAAACAAGTTGAATACAAAAATTCTTCAAGAGATTACAATTAATTCAAAAGTAATGTCACCAAACCTATATTACTTATATTTTTACTAATTTTGAATTATTATACAATTAAATTTCTGTAGTATGAGTTCACTTCATTTATTTGTTAGTACTTATTCTATTTTCTTTCATGGACTTACTTTTCAAATTTTTAAAAATTACAACTTTTGGCATTTTCAAAGTAGGCGTTTGGACCACCAAAGAATGTAGTGCAGTGGATGGGATTGCTCGTCCCTTAACTAGAGGTCTCGGGTTCGAGTCCTGGGTATGGAAAAATCTTTGGTAGGGAGTGCTTCCACCCCCCCCCGAATGGGGCCCTACGCGGCGCGACTCCGGATATAGTCAGGCTCCAATGCGGGTACCGGACACCGGGTGGGAAACCAAAAAAAAGTAGGCGTTTGGACTTAATTTTTGTAATTTTTGAAATAAAGTAGTATTTGAAGTTAAGTTGAAAAACGATATTTGAGATTATGTTTGGACATGCATTTCACTTGAAAAACGTTACAGTTTTGTGAGTGGGGAAATAAAAATTTCTGAAAATTTTGAAAAAGTGATTGTTGAAAAACTCATTGTCGAATTTTTTTGCAAAACTTGTCAAATTTTATGGACAAACACATTTTTGAATTTTTTTTTCTATGGGCATACGGGTGTAGACATCGAAATTTTAACGAATCAAGCTAAATCCTAAAGTTAAGATACTACAAGCAGACTCTTAAAATTTTAGGAGATTATTAGGGTTGCTTGGAGGCTACTCTACCGAAACCCTATCTTGGTGGCTACTCTACCCTAACCCTAAGTCACTCATATAAAAGGGTTACACATTCCCTTAACAAAGGCATCTCAAAAATGGAGATCATCTCGAAAATTCCATAAACTCACAGGATATTCACAAAGAGATCAAGAAGTGGCAGGATAATTCTTGATAATCAAATGCTTCAAGAAGATCCGCAACTGTAACACCCCAGAAATTTTTTGAAGTACTTAAGCTATTAAGAAAGTTGATGTGCGCTAATTATATTATTTTGTATGCAAAGACAGATTATTAATATGATGGATATCAATTGGATATGATAATAAGTGTATGAAGTATATTATATGTGATTTGGGATCTAAGGAGAAGCCTAAGTCTAAGCCAAGTTGGAAAATTTCAAGATAGACTAAAATTCTAAATGAGCACGCACAAGATCACACTTTGGACGAGCATATCTATATATATATATATATATATGTGTGTGTGTGTGTGTGTGTGTGTGTGTGTGTGTGTGTGTGTGTGTGATGCACAACCTATCAAATTAAAAGTCTTTGAGTCTAGTTTCTAACACTTCAAACCGTTTATCATTTGGACATTTGTACAAAAGTTATGATTGATTTACTTAAGGCAGGTAATGTCGTGTTCTGGGTCAGAGGCAAATCGCTGTTACCAAATGCGATTTATAAGTCGTATTCGACACCTGCGACTTACCTGGACAGATTACAAAACGCGAGTTTCAGCCATTTTTAACATATTTGAAGCTATGGAGCTCGGATTGAAGCGATTTTCATCATATAGATTGGGGTAAGTGATTCTAACTCGATTTTGGTTAAAATACATGAATCTATTGTTGTTTTTATCATGAAATTAGTGAATTGAGTTGGAAATGGTAGTAATTCTCTATACCTTAGATTTAAGATTTGGAGGTCGATTTGTTGTTGGAATTTAGTAATTTTGGTATGGCTGGACTCGTGGTTGAATGAGCGTTCATATTTTGTAACTTCGTCGGATTCTGAGACATGGCCCTTACGGGCGATTTTTGATCTATTTTCGGATTTTATTGGAAAATTTGGTATTTTCATATGGGATTGATTCCAATAATCTGTGTTGATTGTATTGAATTATTTTTGGCTAGATTCGAACCATTCAGAGTTGGATAATCGAGGAAAAATGTCAATTATTGGATTGAGATAGCGTGATTTGAGGTAAGTATCTTGCCTAACCTTGTGTGGGGGAATTTCCCCTTAGGCATTGAGTCTTATGTGGAAATTGTGTGATTGAAAACCATGTACGCGAGGTGACGAGTACGTACTTGGTTTATATGTTCAAATTATATCGGTTAAAATTCGTAGACAACCTTATGTATTAAATTGAAAAATTGTTGGGACTTATTAAATCTCTTATTTGTCATGTTTCATTCCTTATTTGTCTAGATTATTTTTATATGATAATTTGGTGCAATTGCTACTTGACTTTTATGTGAACTATATGTTTGTTTGAGTTGCTATTTTTGTTGAAATAATTTTTATTATTGATTTTATCTACATACAATTTAAATGAGAAAATTTAGTTAATAAGATGAATAAATCTATTTATTTCATGAAGTTGTGAATTAAAAAAAAAAGTGTTGTCCCTTGATGAATTTCTTTTCAGTTCATGTTGTTGAAATTGATATTGAGTTATAAAGGTTGTAAATCATATTGAGGCGAAGTGTTAAATTGTGAAATATTATTTTGTTGAGTTTTCACTCCCAGATATTTTGTTAGAATTTGTGTGCGCATTATGACCGAGCCGTGGGCTTCTTATTGTGGAAAAATAATGTATTATTGATTTATGTGACAAGTTGTAATATTTGGGCACCTGATGTGCAATTTGTGATATGTTGTAATATTTGAGCACTTGACGTAAAATTTGTGATATGTTGTAAGATTTGAGCACTGGATGTGAAATTTGTAATATGTTGTAATATTTTAGCATTTGATGTGCAATTTGTTATATTTTTTGATATGTGATCACTTAAGGTGCAAGTTGTATTATGCTGCGATAACTGGGCACTTGAGGTGCAAGTTGTATTATGTTGTGATATTTGGGCACTTGAGGTGCAAGTTGTATTATGTTGTGATATTTGGGCACTTGAGGTGCGATTTGTGAAATTTGTGATATTGATACGCATGCGGTAATATAAGGCCAGGGTGTTGAAACACATGCGGTGAGATAAGGGTGGCTTGAAACACGTGGCTAGTAGGGGAACTACTAGAAGTCATGCGATGTGATAAGGGTGGCTAAAACGCGAGATGCTATTAAAGGGAAAATGTTTTCTTTAAAATTATATGTGAAGGATCCCCCGATGATATAAGGAAATGAGATATTGTGAGTTTATTTATAATTTGGGACTACGAGACGATACCTCGGGAGTGCTCCGTTGATATTTCTTTATTTATGTTCTTGTCCTTAGTGATTTTATTTCATTAATATGTAAATTCTTGTCTTCTTCCGTGATGTACTAGTTGACTTTATGATTATGTGTTTTGTGCTCCTTATTGCATTGTGTTGGCTTGACTTTTTTAGTACGAGACTTTGAAGATTTATATTTTTGGTTTTACTGATTTTTGATGATTGAGTTGTTTTAATAAAAGAAATTACCATTATATTTTAATTTAATAATTTTTACATCCAAATCAGTATTTTGTCTAATGCTTTAATTTAAGTACAATATCATTTTCTTCACTAAAACTATTTCTAAAATAAATTGATCGTGCAGATTTGTATTTATATATATATATATATATTGATATTTTTGGCACATGAGTTGTCCGTGCAGTTATGAAATAAATATGGGCACGAGGTGCCATGGAAATATGAAAGTGAGTCGAGACCCATATTGTATGATTACNGATGTGAGAGAGTCAACACAGGAGCGGAAAGATGTGACCCCATTAAGAGAGATGAACCCTGAGAAGATCTTTGGGAAGATGACTCATTTGCAGCGGTTGTTGGATCGGTTTTTGTCTTGTCGACCAACTGGATTGGCGAAAAATGAAAGGATGGTATTGGTTGCTTTGTATCCTATGGTGAAAGAAAGTTTCCAGCTTTATGCTGATATATGTGAGGTTTTGGCTGTTTTGTTGGATAAATTCTTTGACATGGAGTACCAGGATTGCGTTAAGGCATTTGATGCCTATTCTAGTGCAGCAAAGCAGATCGATGAGCTAGTGGGATTCTTCAACTGGTGTAAGGATATTGGTGTGGCTAGGTCGTCTGAGTATCCAGAAGTTCAGAGGATAACAAGCAAGCTATTGGATACACTAGAGGAGTTTGTGAGGGACAGGGCTAAGGCGACAAAGAGTCCCGAGCGAAAAGTTGAGGCTCTACCAGCTCCACCAGAAGAACCAGCACCTGATATGAATGAGATTAAAGCGTTGCCTGCACCGGAGGAGTATACTCCTCCACCACCTCCTGAACCGGAGCCTCCTAAACCAGTGGTTCAGGAGACCGGGGATTTGGTGGATTTGAGGGAGGAGGGTGTTACTGCCGATGATCAGGGAAATAAATTTGCCTTGGCATTGTTTGCTGGGCCTGGAACAAACAATGGGTCGTGGGAGGCGTTCCCCGGCAATGGGGAAACTCAGGTGACCTCTGCTTGGCAGAATCCTGCGGCTGAGATAGGTAAGGCTGATTGGGAGTTGGCTTTGGTGGAGACAGCTAGTCACCTGTCTAATCAGAAGGCCGCATTGGGCGGTGGACTTGATCCACTACTGTTGAATGGCATGTATGATCAAGGGATGGTTAGGCAGCATGTTTCCACTGCGCAGTTGAGCGGTGGTAGTGCCAGCAGTGTGGCATTACCCGGGCCAGGGAAGAGTGCAACGCCAGTTTTGGCACTCCCTGCACCCGATGGAACGGTCCAGACAGTTGGACAGGATCCATTTGCTGCATCTTTGACTGTTCCACCTCCTTCATATGTACAAATGGCGGATTTGGAGAAGAAACAGCAATTGCTTGTACAGGAGCAAGTCGTATGGCAGCAATATGCTAGAGATGGTATGCAAGGCCAAACGAGTTTGTCCAAGATCAACACTGGCGGATATTATGGTCCACAAACAGCTGCGATGCCTTATGGCATGCCACCAGTAAATGGTGTCGGATTACCACCTGCGGCAGGGTACTACTACACTCCTTACTGATTTTGCCACGTATACATTATTTTTACCTTTTCATTTTCCATTTCATTGTTATGTTCTTTATCTAGTGCTTTGATCTTTTTCCACTGTATTCTATTGATGGATATATGTTCAATTTGTGCATGTTTAGTGAGGGTAGTGGTTGAGAGGAAGAGAGAATGGGCTGAAGAGAATAGAGACTAATGGTTGTGGGGGGGATTCTTATGCTGGGTGCTCTGTAATCCTAATAGCATGACTCATCTGTTTTTGTAATATCATGTATTTTCTTCAGGTCGTCGTTTAAGTGATGCTCGTTTCTATAGTGTAACCTAACTCCATTCTGATCATTGACCAATGCCTCATTTAATTATCTTGGTTCCTTCTTTCTTGAGACTACGCCGTCTGATGCTTTGTAATTCTCTTGCTCTACCAAGAACTTTTGAGTTATGTACTATAGATAATAAAACTCATTTTAAGCTGCTGAAGAATTTGTAGCTATCATGCGGTAGGTTTGATTGGTTGCTTTAGATGAAAAACGCTCAAAATTCACTTCATGAATTTGAGTTGTGCTTAGTAGCAAGCTACAAGTATATTTTTGGTGAAGTGAAACCATCTGCATACGATTATGAACTAGATGTGTGCTAGTTCTGAGGCTTTGACTTCAATTTGATTGAGTTCAGTTTGTCATGCTCTTGTCTCACTATTTTGCTCTCCTTTCTGTATTTAAGCTGATAAATGGATTGATTTGGTAACCCTCAGGTTGGCCTGGTGGCAATTGACTTGAGTATTGGGGTTTGCTCCCTTTCAAGGTCTCAAGTTCGAAACCCACTGGGTGCAAACAATTTCTGAGGGCCATCGAACTGGGTAAAACCTGAATTAACCGTGGTGCACTTGCGGGAAATTCCTTGCCGAGGGCCTGTGCACCCCGGGATTAGTCGGGGCTCTTAGAGACTCGGACACCCGGTGCAAATAAAAAAAAATGGATTGATTTGGTAAAATATAGATTACAAAGGGCTTGGTACTTTAGTTTTGGTTTTGGAAGAATTGGATTTTGTGCATTGAATTATTTGTTCTTGGATTTTTTTTTTTTTTTTTTGGCATTTCTTTTTATAGAAAACAAAGCAGCTGTTTTTCCAGAAAAATGAAAAACCAAACAAACAGATTCTCAGAAATCTTTCTTTGTATGACTATCTTTGCAACAAAATATTCATCAATAAGAGGAAAAATTGTAATACTTATTCATGAATGATCAAGGAAATTATTAGATAATAATAACAATAGCCAGAAAGAAAAAGCTGGCTGAAGAAAGAAGACTTTAGAAATACTGAAGCTGAAAATGACATAGGATTACCTGATAAGGCAGGGCTCTAATATTAAACTAATGTTGGTTTCTATGCCAATCTTTTATTACGTCGTGCCTATCTTTTAGCTATCCTTTCATTGTCATTTTTGGTGTCTAAGTTGGTCTATAGCTGTCCACAGTATAAAATGCAGTTGACCTATCTTTTGGCTGATCAACTCCTGGTCCATTTGTGACTTAAAAAAGGGAAATTATCAAATTGAAGTGGCATGCAAGGGTACTTAGTGGTCATAATGAACTGAAACGAAAATCGTGGGAGACTAAAATTACACAAAGGCAAAACTGTTCGGTATTTTTTTAATTTGTCTAAATTTTGATGGACAGTGTTATTCAGTATCTGTGTATCTGTGTTGACGGGAGATAATAAGTACTTCTTGGAATTGTCTACTATTATCCCAAAGTAAAAAAGAACAAAAAAGAGAGAAGAGGTTATCAAACTGAAGTGGACGTGCGGGGCTTTCCTATTGGCTATCCATAAATCAAAACTGACTGCTTGAAAACTTTATTTTTCAGAATTTTTGATTCTGTAGGTGCCTATTTTGTAAAACTGAAAGATCTCTTGTAGGTTAACATTTCAGCACCAGAAATGATATTTAGCGATCTCTTGTAGGTTAAACTTGCAAATAAAGCAACGTAATAACTGACAGAAAATAACGACAAGATATACGTTATCCTTGGAAGTTTCTTTTTCTTTTTCAATGAGGTACTCTGATAAGCATTCGTCAAATAAAATAAAATTTGTTGATTTCAAATTTATATCATTTTACAGGCAATTTAATTTGGTCTCCTTATGTGGTTCTTTTTCCATATTAAATAAATATTCTGATAATTATCATATTTTAGAGAATTGAGTACGTTGCAGGCTTGCAGCTTGGTGGCTATTTCTTCATCAACGTTACTTAGGTTTAACGTTTTAATTTCACCAACAATTCTAACCTTTTTTTTAGTACAGAAGATAAGATAATAGCCAAGGGTGTCCCTTGGGAGTTTTACTTTATTTTATTGATTAATACTCTATTAAGGAGGGTGTTAAACGAAAATCAAATTTGTTTATTTTCATGATTTATGTCATTTCAATGGCAATTTAATCGGTCTTTTTGTAGTTAAGCTTTTCCAAAAAAGAAAATAATTTTTGATAGATACCATATAACTTTCAGAGGTGGAGGATTTGAGTTGCATACTTGCATTCTGGCGATTATTATTAGTCTACCTAACTTTTAAAGGTGGAGTATTCGAGTTAAGCATAGAGTTATAATTTCACTAAAGTATTCCTTTTTTGTCTTCTCATTTTCCACAATTATAAGCCTAGCCTCACTTCAAAAGAATTTTAAAGACAAAAAAAAAAAAAAAATATATACTACAAAAGAAATATACTTCTAACATGTGACTTTGCTTTTTAGTTCATGAATCATGGGAATATTGTATAAATCTTAAGCATTGGAGCTCTTTATCAACTTTATGAAGATAGTGAAAGAATAAAGGGGTCTAGACTCTAGAATCACACTTTATAAGTGAAGAGTGTAATGAATAAAATTCGTGACTTTTCCTCAGAGAATTAAATTAATTAATGGATGCATAAAAAAAAAAAAAAAGAAATCATCTTTTTGATGGGTACGTGTATGGCTGGCACATACATACTAGCTAATGGAGTCCACATATTCCACAAACAATTGGAGATCTCACTAACTTTTCTTTATTTCCTTTTTCAAAATGTTACTACTACTTTTTTTTTTCACTTGAGATTCGATGTTCGCTGACTAATTTAAATTTTAAAAAATCTCATTTTAGAAGGTAAAACTCTCTTTACCAAAGACGCTCCATACTCGGTAAGGATGGAGGAGTAGCACAACCTTCGGCAGTGAATGCTACTACTTATTTCAACTAACAAACATCTAGAGGGTTCTTTTCATAGTGCTCTTGCTTTCTTCTTTTTCATTTTAATTTCTTGTGGGTAGTTTGCTTTGGCTGATATATGGCACAAAGGGGGACCTTTTACTTTTGAGAAGTTTCATTATTGGCTATGAACTTTATGCACTTCCATATTATATAATGTCTCAATTATTGAAATAAAGCCACAGCTTTGTATAGGTTATCTATGATTTAGTTATATTTTATGTTATGTATGAATTAACATATGGAAAATTAGGTTGTAAATGATAGTGACAATATTTGGAAAGAACGTCGTTGATGTGGATGTTTACTAGCACCTTACTATGCTACATTGCTAGTACTAGTATTAGTATCCGCGCATCATGTCAAATTATGACGTAGATTGTTTGAATTATGTGCAAATAACCTTAAAATGTCAACTTATCAGATAAAAATTATATAATATTAGATATTAATTATGAAGCAGGATATGAAATTATTATTCAAATCTCGTAGTGGACAACCTATTTTTTTCATATATGCAACAACCTAGCTCCTTGATTTAGTACTTGTATTTCGTTCCACTGTCAATATTAAAGAATATTAAACATGTGATGTTGTAATCTGTCTTGTTTGTTTGAGCACATTAAATCATATTATTTTAACAAAATTCTTAGTATCACTTTGTTTTAATCTGAAAGTCAAAAATGTCTTATTCATCACATCATAAAATGTCTTATTCATCACATTATTTTACGCAAATTCTTTTTTCTTTTTGTTCTTTATAGTTATTGCATTATTTATTATTTAATATTATTATACTATCATATAATTTTTTATTAGCTTAATAATTAAATTAATGTCTTGCTTATTATCCTTTTAATAGTCTTTAATAAATATAAATATTTTATTCTTGAAATTTGGTATATTTTTATGCTTGTATCATCTTATTCGGAATTTTTTAATCATTTAAATTTATCAGTAATATTTTTTAAATATAAGTTATTTAATTTATTTACTAGTTAAACTAATTTAAAGTATAAGTATCCTCATATTGCCTCTGTTTTTTTTATACATCTTCTTCTCTACTATAATTTTTCATTAGTTTTTATATTAATGTTTTATCTATAATCAATATAATATTATATTTTATTTTAAATTGAACTTTGAATTGGTCTAAAATACTAATACATAAGTTACTTGATTATTATGGTCCAAATATATTGAGTTCTCTTATAATTATTTTCGTATTAGATGCAGTTAACTTTTCTTTCCTTTTTAGCTTTAAGATACATGTTTAATTTTTAATTTTCCTTAGTAAATTACCTATATTAGAAATTTATTATATATTTTTAAAATATTTATTTTAATCATCGAAAAATATTTTTCTTAATTGTTTGAATACATTATAACTAATATTGTAGTAATATTTTTACTGTCATTTTATTTCTTTACTTAACATTTTCAAAAATAAAAAAAATATGAAATAAAAAAGATCTCATCTCAAATTCAAATAATTCTTATAATTCTATTTTCTAAATTGGACCGCATTTTCAAAAAAATTATGCTATACTTTCAAACTTAAACTAATTACACTCAATTCAGAAATTAATCATAGAAAAATATTTACTTAATTGTTTGAATACATTATATTTAAATGTTGTAGAAATATTTTCACTGTCATTTTGTTTATATACGTAAATTTTATTTCTTTTTTATCTTTAAGATACATTTAATTTTTGATTTTCATTAGTAAAATTACCTATATTAGAAATTTATTTTGTATGTTTAAAATTTTTTTGTTATTATTTTTCATAAATAAGACTTCAATTTCGTGATATTTTCCATAGTCTGAGCATTCTCATCATAGTATTAAGAACTTTCTAATCTCAAATTCAAATAGATTTTCCCTTTCATTTCTAATAGTAAATTTTTAATAATTTAACATAATTTTGCTAATTTTTAATCTAATATATATTCTTGGCTTTTCATTAACTTGTAACTTTATTTAATATCATTATCAACTACTATTCTTTAATATAATATAGATAAATATATAATTTTCTTAAAAATAAAATAATATTTATTTCATTTTAAAAATATTGATCGAACATTTAA